CGACGTCTACACCGGTATGACTTGGGTGTACGTGCTGGCCAAGAAGAGCGACGTGGCTGAAACGTTGAAGACGGATTGGTTCCCGATGGTGGAGCGGCAACAAGACCGTCTAGTCAAGTCAATCCGCACCGATCGAGGGGGAGGGTTCCTGAGCAAGGAGTTTGGGTTGTGGCTGAAGAAGAATGGTATTCGGCACTCCCTCACCATGCCATACTCCCCTGCAATGAACGGCATCGCCGAGCGAGCGAACCGCACAATCACGGAGGCGGCACGCGGGTTGCTCATTGAAGCCGGGCTACCCGACTATTTCTGGCCTGATGCGTGTGTGGCCAAGAACAGAGCCTTGACTCATGTGGGAGCAGACAAATGGGTGCCCTATGTGGAGTGGCTAGGAAGGAAGCCAAAGGTGGATATGCTTCGGGTGTTCGGGTGCATGTGCATGGCGCTCGTGCCTAAGCATCTTCGGCACAACAAGCTTGGTGCCAAGGCGGTGTGGGCCGTGCACTTGGGCATGGCTCAAAACAGCAAGGGATGGCTTCTTTGGGACCCATTCACCAAGAAGTTCTTGGTGAGTCGGGACTGCAAGTTCATGGAGAACTTCATGTACAAGGATTGGAAGGCGGAGAATGAGGCGAAGATAGGCGTGCGGTTTGGGGAGGTGAAGAGTTCCGGTTTGGAGCATGTGGAGCTGCCTTTGGAACTGAGCAGCGGCAGCACAACCACAAGGCAATCCTCCCTTGTGAATGGGGGAGAGGAGGCCAATGATGCAGAGGAAGAAGAGGAGGAGGTGCAGCAAGTGAGCGAGCGTGCACCGTCACTCCCTTCCCGTACTACGAGTGCTCCACGGATTCGAGCCACACCGCAGCAACGCCAAGGCCTTCAAATCCCTGCAGCTGAGGAGGAAGGAAGGGGGAAGAGGAGAGTTCAACCCCCTAATAGGCTGACCTATGATGCGCCGGGAAAGCAGGGCAAGACAGCCCTGGCCGGAGCGGCAATGATGGTCGGAGACGACGAGGAGAGTGACTACGAGGAGTGTGCCTTCGCGTTCTTCTCTCCGGTGGAGATGCCGGGAGAACCAGCAACTCTCAAGGAGGCTTTGGAGACTGGTGATGCTGAGGAGTGGAAGAAGGCCATGGAGAGTGAGCTGAAGAGCATCGAGGAGAATGACACGTTTGAATTGGTGGAGCTACCGGAGGGGCGTACGGCGATAACGTCCAAGTGGCTCTTCAAAATCAAGTCGGATGCCGACGGCAAGATCGAGCGCTACAAGTCTAGGCTTGTAGCCAAGGGGTACCAGCAGAAGGAGAAGGTGGACTTCAAGGAGCTGTTTGCCCCTGTGGTGAAGCCGACGACGCTGCGAACCCTATTCGCGGGAGCCGCCATCAAAGGATGGGTAGTAAAGCAAATGGACATCGTAACGGCATTCCTTAACGGCATCCTTGAGGAGGAGATTTTTATGGCGCAGCCAGAGGGGTTTGATGATGGTAGTGGCAGAGTGTGGAAGCTGAAGAAGGCCCTCTATGGGCTGAAGCAGGCCCCTAGGCAATGGTACATGAAGCTGCGCGAAGTGTTGGAGGGGATCGGCTTCACTCCCTCAACGGCCGATCACTCCTTGTTCATGCTTGGCGAGTGGGAGCAGAGGAGCTTCATGGTGGTGTACGTGGACGACATCCTGATCTTCTCACCCTCTCCTGACCTTGTGAAAGAGGTGATGCTGAAGCTGCAAGACAAGTTCAAGTGCAAGTCCCTTGGTGACGTGAACTTCTACCTTGGGCTCCACATCGAACGAGATGTGGAGAAGCGGTGCATGCGGGTGCATCAACGAAAGTACCTGGAGGCATTGGCTGCCAACTTTGGGCAGAGTGAAGGCCATGTGGCTACACCCTTTCCCTCTGGGTTCAAGTGTGTGAAGGGACCAGAGGAGGAGAGCGTTGGTGAAGAGGAGAGGCGCCGATTTCACTCGTTGGTGGGCAGCCTCATGTATGCGGCGGTAAACACCCGACCGGACGTCGCGTTTGCTACCGGGCAGCTGGCTAGGGTTGTGCAATGCCCTAATGAGGAGCAGGTAGCAGCTGGAATGAGGGTGGCCAAGTATCTTGGCCAAACACCGACCGTTGGGCTGCAATACTCGGCGGCGGCACAAAGGCGCCAAAAGGGCGCGGATGGTGTTGAACCCGGGCGTTTGTTCCTCACCGCCTACTCGGATGCTTCATATGCATCAGAACCAGAGGACATGACAAGTGTGGGAGGCTTCATATGCTGTGTTGGTGGAGGCCCAACTGCTTGGGAGAGCAAGAAGCAGGTTGACCAAGCTTTGAGCTCGGTGGAGTCCGAGTACATGGCACTCTTCCGTGCCGTACGGGAGATTGTGTGGCAGCGGCGTTTGTTGGCTGAATTGGGGGAGGAGCAGCAAGGACCTACCCCACTGTACTGTGACAGCCAGGGTGCCATTGCTCTTGCTAAGAACCCTGTGTTGCATGGACTCACGAAGCACATGAGGGTGAAGTGGCATTGGACGAGGAGCATGGTAACCGCGGGTGAAGTTGAGTTGCGCTACGTGAAGACCACGGGGCAGCCGGCTGACATGATGACCAAGAGGCTGGTGGAGCAGCAGCATTGGAAGTGTTGCAAGCTGGCTGGGATGGCTCTGAACTGAGAGAGCAACATATCCTAAGGCCAACAATCCGAGGGGGAGTTTGTTGGTGCAACCCTACGGTTTGCACTCGGCTTGTTGTCCGTGTGCGTGAATGTGTGTGTGTATGGAATGGTATGAGGGCATGGGATAATATATATTTCATGCTTATAATTGTGTGTGAATGTTGAGTCATCATGTCGAGTGTGTGTGTCGAGTCAATAGCGAGTTATCGCTAGACGCGTGTTACGCGGTCGTTTGTGTCTCGCGCGCGGTTTCTATTTTGTCGTGCGCGGTTTCTATTTTGTCCTGTGTCGAACGTTCGGCGTGTCGCAGGTGTGTGCAGCAGACCCATCAAGAACTCAAGGATGAGTTTGTGATGAAGAGCCCGAGCCTTGGTGTCAAGCCTCAAGTGATTTCGAAGCTTGCCAAAAGGGTACACCTCAAGAAATTGAAGATAGTTACATTACTTTGTGTAGTGTAACATTTCACTTGGTGTAGGCCCTAGTGAAGGGTAGTTTCGAGACCCTTCGTGGTTGGGGACAGTGTGGCACTGTTCCACATCACTGTACCTTGGCTCTTGGGGTTTGTAGGAGCTGGGAGTCATTCCCAACTCGTAACTCTTCCTAACTCTTCCTATCTTGTGTTCTAAGACTATAGTGGCTGCCATAGTACCGTTCGTTCAAACCGACGCTGTGTCGTCAATTCTTTATCAAATCGTGCAATCTAAATTGATAATTGTAGACAACGTGAAGACGCTCCAGATCCAATTTGAATCAAGTCATTTGCAGCTGTGAGCAGAACGCTATCATCGTTTGAAGCCGCTGTGCAGAAATCCGTCCGTGCTCTCTATCTTTCGTTTTAGGCACATTCAAGCCTATTGTGACTATAACATTATGCGGGACGAACCTCAGGTTGGAACCGTGGCTCTGACAGTGGCTACGACAGAGGGTGACAACACGCTCGACTTCAGCAGCCCGTCTACAGCTGTGTATGCCGCCGACAGCCACTGAAACTACAGCTTGGGTGAGACAACACTACAACCGGTGCTCAAGATTGCGTTTATCGTCTCTTACAGTTGGGTGCCGATGTACAAAATGTAGTGCAGGACGTTGGCCTTGAATCCCGTTCACCTATTGTCTTTCTCCCTACCGGCAACGGTTTAGGCCTTTCCCTCGCGTATTCCCGTGGTCGCCCTGTCGAAGATTACTGTCGCAAGTCAGGCCGTAGATGTTACACCCGCAGGTAGTAAAGGTTCTACCAACCTTTCCTATTGTCTACGTATGGTTAGGACCCACCCGAAATGAACTTTTCCTCTCTAGAATACCCCTACAATGCTCGTACTTCGTGGAACGCAACTACTCTTCTCGGCAAATCGTGCTCCTTACACTCAGGCCCTGAACGTCGCGTTTAGCTGTTGACATCTCCTGCGACGCGGCGTCCTAGTGCCAGCGCGTCGCGACAATATTTCGTGCTGTGACCTGCCTACTATCAAGCAAGGTTGGTAGTCGTGCTATGCGTTGATTCCGTCATCGAGCACGTTTTGCGAGGCTGTAGGTGTTTCAGGTCGCTTTTGAGGTTGGTGTCAAATGTTTACCTACCACTCGTTTTGGTGGTTCAATTCAACACTTCACCGGACTGTAACCCCCCTATTCCCTCTATACCCCCTCGCTGTTTGGATGCGATGCGAGTATTTTTTTTCGGTGGTGCTGATTGGCTGCGCTTCTGCACCATTCGAGGCGACAGAATGGTCGCACGCAGTATTTTCGTGCAATGGTGGTCATCTCTGGGGGAAGCAGGCCAATCTGAGTGTGGCGAGGTGATGATTGATTTCGCGACTCTGAGAGTGCGTCGCCAGGGTTGGTTCTACGAAAAAGGTTTTTGCTCCCTCTCGCTAACCCTGTTTCATGTTCAGGAAACTTGGTATTCAGCCATGTGAAACTCGGGCTTTAAAGCGATGGATTTTACAGCGCAGATGCGGCTCGAGTTCGAGTTGGGTTCGCGAGAAGCGGGAACGCACAGGATTGGGCCCCAACTTCTCGGGGGGTAACATCAGGGTCACCGCTCGGGGTCACCTCAGTGTGACAACGAACTGAACTTCGATCGGGGGTAACATTGGGGTATCACTGTTGGCGACAATGGGGTATCACTAATCGGGGTAACCCTGATGTGACCTTGGGGTAGAAATTTGCGGGGAACTTGTTTGGGATGTAAGGTTGGTTGGTGCTTTTCAACTACCGACATTGCCAGTGCAGGGACAGGAAAATGCGACGCGTTGACTCGTGTGCGACTCACAGTCGCTCTTGTCGTATTGACGCCGCTCGTCGCTCATCGTCGTACAGTGCCGCTGCTCTCCCTGCAGCCGCCGATGGGGTTGCTATCGCTCGTGAAGCGGAGAAATGCCGCCGCCAAAAGTGATGCCCCAGCCGACACCGCCGACGCGCAGCCCGCCGCCCCTGCGGCCGCGGAGCAGCCATCGCCAGCCGCCGCACCTGCTGAAGGAGCTGACGACGCGGTATATTTGGTGCGCAAGGCGGGCTTAGCGGCGAAGGCGGCGAAGGAAGCGGCGAAGGAGGAGGTGGGGGAGGCGGAGCACACAGTGCGCGTGCTGGGGCGCGCGTACGAGAGCGTGCACGAGGCGTACAGCATGGGGCGCGAGCTGGGGCGCGGGCAGTACGGCGTGATCCGCGCGTGCGTGGAGAAGGCGACGGGCGTGGCGTGGGCATGCAAGAGCATCAGCAAGGCGCGGCTGGCGGGCGCACGCGAGGTGGAGGATGTGCGGCGGGAGGTGCGCGTGATGCAGCAGCTGCGCGGCCACCCCGCCATCGTGGCGCTGCACGCCACCTTGGAAGACGACCAGGTGCGGCGCGCATGGCAGGGGGTGTGCACGTGCAGGGCTTGTCATGTCGGACAGGCTCTGTTGCCACGTGGCACGGGAATTTGCTGCTGCTTTATTCTTCTCGTGATTCTGCCAGAAGCCCTGTATGTCTGACTATGCGCTGTATGTCTGACTATGCGCTGTATGTCTGACTATGCCCTGTATGTCTGACTATGCGCCATTGCTTTAAATCCCGCTGTGCGCTTTAAACGCCTTAGCGCTCTACTGTGCGCATTGCTCTACTGTGCCTGCTGAGCCGGTGAGTGAGTGTTTTAATTTTTGTGTGTGTGTGTGTGTGTGTGTGTGTGTGTGTGTGTTTGTGTGTGTGTGTGTGTGTTTGTGTGTGTGTGTGTGTGTCTGTGTGTGTGTGTGTGTCTGTGTGTGTGTGTGTCTGTGTGTGTGTGTCTGTGTGTGTGTGTGTGTGTGTGTGTGTGTGTTTGTGTGTGTGTGTGTGTGTGTTTGTGTGTGTGTGTGTGTGTGTCTGTGTGTGTGTGTCTGTGTGTGTGTGTGTGTGTGTTTGTGTGTGTGTGTGTGTGTGTGTGTTTGTGTGTGTGTGTGTGTGTGTGTGTGTGTCTGTGTGTCTGTGTGTGTCTGTGTGTGGGTCCCAGCAAGTGCATCTCATAATGGAGTGTTGTGAGGGCGGGGAGCTGTTTGACTGCATTCGCCGTCGCAAGCGCTACCCGGAGGAGGACGCGGCTGTGGTGTGTCGCACGCTGGTGGGCGTGGTGGGGCACCTGCAGCGCCACGGCCTCATGCACCGCGACCTCAAGCCCGAGAACATCCTGCTCGTGTCGCCCGCCTCCCACACGCACGTCAAAGTCGTCGACTTCGGCCTCGCCCTCCCCGTCAACCCAGGTGCCCTCCCCGTCAACCCAGGTGCCCTCCCCGTCAACCCAGGTGCCCTCCCCGTCAAGCCAGGTGCCCTCCCGGTCAAGCCAGGTGCCCTCCCCGTCAAGCCAGGTGCCCTCCCCGTCAAGCCAGGTGCCCTCCCCGTCAAGCCAGGTGCCCTCCCCGTCAACCCAGGTGCCAAGTTTTTTGTCCGCCAGGCAGTGACTTCACACACGCACTCATCTCGCCTCCTCCTTGCACTCCACTGCCTCCTCCTTGCACTCCACTGCCTCCTCCTTGCACTCCACTGCCTCCGTCCCTCTCCTGTGGGGCGCTGCTCACCGCACCCCTCCTCTGCATGCATGGCACGGCACGGGTGGTATGCGCATGGCGGGGCGGTGAGGGTGGCAGGGGCGCGGCTGACGGCGATGGCGGGGAGCAGCTACTACATGGCGCCCGAGGTGCTGGACCACTGCTACGGCGCCGAGGCGGACATGTGGAGTGTGGGCGTCGTGCTCTTCATCCTGCTCGCCGGTGTGCCGCCCTTCTGGGCTGCCAGCGAGGCCGGCATCTTCAGCGCCATCCGGGCGGCGCGAGTGGACGTGTTCAGCGGGGGGTGGGCGGGCATCTCCCCCGACGCCAAGGACCTCGTGCTGCGCCTGCTCACGCGCGACCCCGCCCGCCGCATCACCCCCGACAAGGCCCTCTGTGCGTGGGGGGGGGAGGAAGGGGTGGTAGGATAGGACAGAGGGGGAGGTGGGATGGAGGGATCTGCGTGGGGCGGGGTGAAGCTGGGGGAAAAGGATGAGGAGTTGGAGTAGGCGTCTGGCGGTTCAAACAGGGGCGGACCCTCTCCACCGCCTCTCTACCGCCTCTCCACCACTTTCACTCCCCTCTCCCCCCCCCGAACGCACATCCACCTCCACCGTCACAGCACACCCCCCTCCCACCCGTCCCTCTGCTCTCTCCTCTTCCCCATCCCTCGCAGCCCATCGGTGGTTCAAGTCCGTCACTGCCGGCCCCCCACCCTCCCTTCTGCCCATCAAGGCCTCCCCGGCAGATGCTCCCACGCGCGCCCTGTCAGCTGCTGGCCCGCCAGGTGTTCGTCTGGGCGGTACGCGCGGGTCCAGCACAGCGGGGGCAGGCGGAGAGAGGGCGGGGAAGGGAGGGGAGAGGGACGGTGGTGGGCGGCGCGGTGGGCAGGAAGGAGTGGCGGCGAGCAGGAGTGTGGAGGGCGCGGGCTGGCGGGAGCAGGGGGGGAGGGGGTGCGCGGACGATGGGCGGGAGTTGGTACGAGGCAGGGCGGGCAGCAGCGAGGGCAGCGCGGGCCGTGCAGCACGGCTGACACGGCACCGCTCGGAGGATGTGGTGCGGCGCGGCGCAGGGGGGGCGCGGGAGTGGCAGGGCGGCACGGTGGAGGAGGAGTGGAAGGCGATGAGGAGAGAGGAGGGGAGAGGCGCGCGGGGCAATGACATGAGAAGGGAAAGGGAAGGAGGCGTCGAGATGAGGGACGAGGAGGGAGGGAGGAGCAAAGGTTGGAGCATGAGCAGGGAGAGAGGTAGAGAGAGGGATCAAGAACGGAATCGGAGTATGGGCAGGGAATGGGAGCGGGAAAAGCGAGTGGAGATGGAGAGAGACAGAGGTAGGGAGTGGGCGAGGGATAGACACAGGGGTAGGGACGAGGAGAAAGAGACGATCAAGGAAGAGGAGAGGAGTAGAGACAGAGTGAGCGAGGGGGAGAGGGATAGAGACAGGTTCAGGGAGGGGGAGAGGGATAAGGACAGTGATGAGGAGGGGGAGAGTGAAAGGGACAGGGTAAGGGACAGGTTCAGGGGGAGGGATAGAGATGGCGATAGAGAGACGTACCGATTGCAAGATGGTGGGAGGGCATACAGGAGGAGTTTCGAGTTGGATGATAAACGGGAGCAGAGATGGAGAGAGCGTGAGAGAGAAAGTGAGAGAAGCAGAGAGTTGGATAGCGGCAGAGAGTTGGATAGCGGCCGGGACAGGCGCAGAGAGAGGGAGAAGGAGAGAGAGGAGATGGGACGGGAGAAGGATTGGAAAAAGGACGTGAGGGGGGAGAGGGAAAGAGGGAGACGAAATGAAGGTAGTGGGGCGGAGGTAGGGCGTGGTAGGGAGGAGTGTGGAGGAGGAGTGGGGGATGGAGGGAGGAACGGGGTGCTGTGGCGAGTGGGCAGTGGCAGCAGGCGGTTGGTGGAGAAGGCAGGCGGTGTGGGAGGGGTGGGAGGGGTGGGAGGGGTGGGGGGTCTGCAGCGCCACAAGTCGGATGTGAGCGGCCTGCTGGCAGCGGAGCACGCCCGGGCCACCCACCACCACGCCCTCTCCCCCTCTCGCCGCTCCCCCCTCTCCCCCTCTCGCCCCTCCCCCCTCTCCCCGTCTCGCCGCTCCCCCCTCTCCCCGTCTCGCCGCTCCCCCCTCTCCCCTTCTCGCCGCTCCCCCCTCTCCCCTTCTCACCGCTCCCCCCTCTCCCCCCTCTCCAGCCCCGACGCCCCCCCTGGTGCCGGGCGCGCCCCCCGACCGCGCCCGTCACGGCGCTCGCACTGGCGCCTGTCGTGCGACCTGGACGCCCCGCATGGCAGCGCCGCCACCGCCCAGGGCGGAGCACATGGGGGGGACGAGGAGGGGGGAGGTGGCGTGGGGGGAAGAGCAGAGAATGAGTGGGGCAGGGCGAGCGCGCGGACGAGAGCCATGCAGCGATCGCCGTCTCCGGAGCGCGAGAGGGAGGAGCGCAGTGGGGGGGAGCGCAGTGGGGGGGCAGCGCACCGACGCACTGGCAGCAGCAGCAGCAGCAGCGCCCACGACCCCACCACCGCTCGCCCCTCACGGGCGTCCCACCCCACTGGGCTGCCCCCTCCCGGCGACCACCACCGCCGCCACCGCAGCTCCGGCGACGTGCTGGCCGACCTCGCCTGCCCCGCCCCCGCCCCCGCCCCCCCCACCCGCACGCCCCCCTGCGCCGCGCCGCGCTCCCTGTCTGGCGGGCGCCCCCCTGACTGCCCCCCGCGCCCGGGGCTGGCTGGCAGCAGAGGCGCGGCCGGCAGGGAGGAGCAGGGCGCGGGTGTCAAGGGCGCGGGTGACAAGGGCGCGGGGCGGGATGGTGCGGGGCGAGTGGGTGAGCGCACGCGGCACAGCCGGAGTGCGTCAGTGGGGGTGGCGGGCATGGGGCGCAGGGAAGGGCGGAGGCATGGCGATGGGGAGGAGGGGGATGAGGAGGACAGGATTTATGGGGATAGGTGGGGGGAAGCAGAGGCAGAGATGGCAGTGCGCTCGCCGGGGGCTGGGGGTGTGCAGGCAAGGATAGAGGAAGCAGCAGCGGATAGGCTGCTGGGCGGGGGTGCGAGTGGGGGTGGTTTGGTTCGGCACCGATCCATGGACGTGGCGTCGCTGCTGCACGCCCGCTCTGCTGATGACGCTGTCTGCCCCTCATCCCCTGTGCGCCGCGCCCTGTCCCCTGTGCCGGGCCTCAACACATCCCTGTCCCCTGTGCCGGGCCTCAACACATCCCTGTCCCCTGTGCCGGGCCTCAACACATCCCTGTCCCCTGTGCCGGGCCTCAACACATCCCTGTCCCCTGTGCCGGGCCTCAACACATCCACGCGCCGCACCGATCCATCAACGTGCGGGCAGGAGGAGGGAGCACCCAGGCGCCGCCACCATGCCCCCATGCCCACTTCCCCCCGCGCCCGCTCCCCTCTTCCACCCTCGCCCTGCTCCCCCACCAGCATCACCCGCGGGCCCACCTCACAGCCCCCCACACGCACGCTGCATGATAGCCACTCGGCCCACTCACCCTCGCCCACCCACAATGCCCCCTTTCATGTGTGCCCGGCTGCCTCTCCTCCTGCCGCCACACCCCCGTCAGCGCTCGCCGCTCTGCCCCCCCAGCGTGCGCGGCGCAGCAGCGTGGACTTGGATGCGAGGCGGCGCTGCGGGCAAGCTGGTGGGCGGCACGAGGCGCAGCGAGGCACAGAGGTGAGGGAGGTGAGGGAGGCAGCAGAGCAGGACAGCAGCAGAGGCAGCAGCCCGGGTGGGGGCAGTAGCTTCCGCATGAAGGGCAGCAGGAGGGGGGTGGCAGAGGGAGGTGAGAGAGGAGAGGGAGGAGAGGGAGAGGAGCGTGACAGGTGGAGCTCTGGCCAGGCACGGAGAGCAGTGGGCAGTGCAGGGGTGCTTCGGGGGGGAGGTGAAGGACACGGGCACATGCGCAGCAGCAGTAGCAAGGGGGAGCGCAGAGAGGGTTCACCGCTGGACCGAGAGGGTGGGGTTGAGTGCAGTGGATGGGAGGAGGAGAGTTCCGAGGTGCACGGTGGGGAAGAGCAACGGGGGCAGGGACACAGAGCGAGCGGGCGGGGCCTCAAGGCGGTTGAGGCGGGTGATGGGAGGCGGTGGAGCAAGGGAAGTGCCGGCAGGCTGGCACGGTACCGATCTGCAGATGTGTCCTCCCTTCTCCACTGACCCAGCTCTCTGTGTCTTGCCATTCTTCCTTTAGCGCAGCCCTGCTTCATTTGCGATGCTTCGCATGGTACGGTACTGGAAGACCCCGGATAGAGGCGCAGGCTTATGTTAGGCGCATGCGCCTTAAACGGAGCATTGCGCGTATATCCGCTCTTCGATTATAAGGACGTATTCTTGGTTTCGTGTCATCTGCTATTTGCGTCTTCGGAAAGACGCGAGCTGTCATTCAGCAGCTTGGGTCAACGAGACAAATGTGTTTTTTTGACAGAAATTAACTGGCCACTAGGGGTGTTTTTTTTCAGAGTAAATTACTCTGTTTCTCTGAAAATCAGAGTCGTTTTTTAGGGGTTCACTCTGACGCTTCTGGGTATTTTTTTTGGAAGTTTTCTCTGATTTGCCAGGGTTTTTATTGTTGGAAACATACCGTATTTCCCCAGATAGTAGTGCATATGCGCTTATAATAAAATCTGTTTTTTTATGGGTGGCGCTTGTAAATGAGTAACTGGTATAAGCGCATGCGGTTATAAGACGGGAAATGAATTTCGTTTTTTAGGACACCAAATTGAAGCTCTCCTTAAGGCGAACACAGCCAAACATTCGTTCACGCGGTTTCGTGCATGGGTTTAAGGGGAATTCAACCGCGATTCGGTTTCCCACCACACATTCACGTCCAGAAGCAACGCACCTACCGTTGCTGACTCGCATCCTGCCGTGCGGCCCAATTGCATTGTCATGCGCCTCAGGGCAGTCGATTCCACCCGAAACCTCTAGAAGGGGGTGGAATCTTTCCTGCCAGCGCTGACGCAAATCCTGCCGTGCGGTCCAATCACAGCAGGATGCGTTGCCATGCAGGCAAATTCCACCCGAATCCACTAGAAGGTGGTGAAATTTTCCATGCCAAAGGAGCGTCGTGCACGCCACGCATGTTCCTCTGCGGGTTTAGGCGGGGGTTTCCCGTGGGTCATCGACGAGGACCCCGAGGCGCCAAAGCGAAGGGGTCTCTCCCAAGAGCATTTCATTCCTCATTCTTGCTCACTCGGACTCAGTTTTCCAGCCTCTCCCGCCAGACTGCTTCAGCCACGGCGGAATTTACTGGCACGCATTTTCTCTTCAAGAAGAAGCCTCGTAGGCCCACGTTTACCGTTACCGCTGACGGATGGTACTGCTGTGCCCCACCATCGCCTCCCGAGCCACCACAGCCTCCTGCGCCTCCTGCCCCCCCTGCTCCTCCCGTTCCTCCGTCGCCTCCCGCACCTCCTGCTCCTCCGAATCCTCCTCCTTTAGAAACCTTGGGTAACCGGCCCGTGCTCCAGCTTTGCCAGTATCTCCCTTGGGCAACCGGCTCGTGCTCCAACCTTGACGACGATGTGGATGCCGAGGGCGCGGAGAGCGACAAGGTCGCCGCGGCTACGACGACGACGGTGTAGAAAACTGGTTGCGCGACGACCTTCCTGAAAAGTTGCCGATACCGTCTTATCCACCGACTAACCGCAAGCGTCCCCACCCATCTTCACAGAACCGTGATGCCCGCCCCCCCTCGGCCAGGCACAAGATGACGCAGCACAAGCGAAAAGGTTACACAGCCCAGGAAAAAATGAAGTGGCTCGCGATGCTGGAAGTGGCGGTTTCCGTGCGCTCTCTATCTCGTGAGTCCGGCATCTATCGGAAGTGCTTGACACGATGGAAGAGGGAGGCGGCCGCCCTAAAAGAGGCTCACGGCGCACGGATGCGGATGCACGGTCGCAGCTGAGCGTCTTGGTACTGGCCTATGGAGCGGAAGGCCTATGCGAGGCTACTGGAGTGGCCGCGCAAGGGGTGCGCCATCTCAGTTGGTCGTCTGCAGGAGTGGTCGAAGGAATTCATGAAGATTCTCTTCCCCGACGCCAAGTGGAAGGGCAGTCAGAGGTGGTCGGACTGGTTTTGGCGCCGCTGGAATTTGAGCGTCCGCATGAAGACAAAGGTAGCACAGAAAACTGCCGAACGTAAGTGCCTCCCTTCGTTTTAGTTACATTTATTGTGCGTCGTCCTTGATGTTTTGTACGGTTACGAGTGATCTTATATCCCTACCGCCTTCCCCCCCCCCCCCCCCCCCCCCTCCTCATTTCTGTCTCAAAGATGTCGCGGAGCAGTGCATGAAGTTCTCGAAGTTCGTCCGCAATAACCGTCGTGAGCGCGGCATCGAAACGACGTGGATTATCAACGCCGACCAGACGCCGCTGTGGCTTGAGATGCCCGCCACCACCACTGTGGAGCAAGCGGGAGTTCGCTCGGTGCCCATCAGGAGCGCTGGCTACCAGAAGCAGCGCGTTACCGTGATGTGGGCGTGCACGGCTGACGGTGTGAAGCTGAAGCCATGGGACTTCTTCAAGCGCAAGACAGTCCCGAAGGGGGACTTCCCGCCGGGTAAGACATCCAACCCTAATAACCTTTTTGTTATTGTCATGAGACATCAGAGTTTAAATACAAACCCTTTGTTGCATGCGCAGATGTGGTGGTGGGGCGTCAAGACAACGGCTGGATGGACGCCGACGGTATGCTGAAGTGGCTTGACGGGTGTATCGCGTCTTTCATAAGGCCCCGGTTCGGCAGGCAGGCAAAGAGCGCGATGCTCGTTCTGGATTCATACCGCGGGCATCTCACGCACGACGTGAAGGCGAAGCTTGCCGAGCTCTACATTGTCCCAGCGGTCATCCCGGCAGGCAGTACGTCAGAGGTATAGCCGCTCGACGTATCGGTCAACAAAAGTTTCGAAGGCCTCCGTTCGAGAGCAGAACCAGACCTGGTTTGAGGAGAAAGGCTAGGAAAGGCTGACAAAAGCAGGTAAGAGGGGCCGAGCTGTTAAACTTACTCACGGGTTAAATTCCTCCCCTCCTTTTGTTGTTTTAATCTCCCCTCTGATTGTCATGTGGTGCAAGGAACCTCAAGAAGCCGCCTGCTGAGGTGGTCCTCAGGTGGATCTCCCGGGCCTGGAAGGCAGTCCCCGCCGAGCTGATCAAGAAGGCGTTCCTCACTTGCGGTATTAGCAACGCCCTAGACGGGAGCGAGGACAAGCTCGCCATGGCGTACAGGAGGGGCCAGCTGTCGCACGAAGTGGACGTAAACGACGACATCACGGCCGACGGTTTCTGGGGCAACAACTGCTCGGAGCCAGAGTCAGACGAGGAGTAAATGCTAGCGGTAGAAATGCTAGAGTTTTAAATGCAATGCAGTGGATAAAGTCATAAAGGTTAGAATGTTTTTAAAACGTGATGCCCAATGTAGTATAAAAGTTAGAATGTTTTTAGATTGCTCCTGATAGTAGTGTGTGTAGAGAAAAATGTCAGAAAATATAAGTTACATCTTCTATATGTAACAGCTTGTAGGATCGATTACTGTAGTTATAGCATTTTACTGTTTGGTGGTGCACCCTTTCCGTTTCTTCTTGCCTATTTGTACTGCTTGCTCAATATTGAACTCACCTTTTGGCAAAAACCCTCTCGACATTGTTCCTCCCTAGTAAAACCCTAATCCCTCCTAAATTACTAGTTAACTACCTATTTTGACATGGTATCAGAGCACATAAGATCCTCGCCTGTGGGCCCACCTCATGCTTCCGCTGCTGTCCTTTCAGTCGCGCGCCGTGGGCGTGTGACTCTACCCTGCCTGTCGCGCGCGCGGGGGGCGCGACGCTTTCTGCCCGCCGTCCAGCCCGCGCGCGCTGCCCTCCAGCCCGCGCGCGCCACCCCGTGCGCCTGTGAGCCGCCCTGCAGCACCCACGCGCCGCCCCTCTGCCGCGGAGCGGCTTCTTCCCCCCTCCCCCCCCCCCCCCCCCCCCCCACCCTTTCTCCTTCATCTCCCGGCTGCGCGTGCAGCCGTGGGGGGGAGGGCTTGAGGGGTGGCGGGTATGGGGGTGGCGGGAGTGAGTAGTCCCTGCTCCTCCTCCTCCTCTCTCTCCCGCTGCTGCAGCTGACGCTGGGGGGGGGGGAGGAGGGTGTGGGGGAGCCGAGTGAGTGGTGCTAATGATGCCGAGGGGTGTGATCAGGGGGTTTGGGAACATGGGGGGAGGTTGAAAGGAGGTAGCGGCTGTGAAGCCAGCAGCTCCTGTAGTTAGGATGCCCTTGCTCCGGTAGCTCGTATGCAAGTTGCTCCAGAGGCCTGTGTGTCAGCAGCTTCAGCCGCCGCTTCCTATCTCCTCTCATAGTCCCTCCTCCTCCTCACTTGCCCTCTCCTCCTGCTGCGCCTGGTGTACCCCTTCAGGGGGCGTGTCAAAAAATATAAGTTATATTTTCTATATGTAACAGCCTGTAGGATTGATTACTGTAGTTATATCGTATTACTGTTTGGTGGTGCACCCTTCCTTTTTTCTTCTTGCTTATTTGTCCTGCTTGCTCAATATTGAACCCACCTTTTGGCAAAAACCCTCCCGACATTGTTCCTCTATAGTCAAACCATAATGCCTCCTAAGCTACTGGTTAACTACATATTTTTGACAAAACAAACTTAATAAAACAGTTAAAAAACATACCGAAATACAGGGATGCGCTTATAATAAGTACAGGTTTCACAAGGGGTGCGCTTATATTTGAGTTGCCGCCATAAGCACATGGCTCCAGATAGAAGCGCCGGCGCCCTTAAATGGACGGGGCTTATATCCGGGGTGATACGGTATAGTTCGCGCTTCTGATGTGTCGAGCACTACAACGAAAGCGAAGCGAACTAAAGCGAAGCAACAGCGAGTCAACCAGAGCAGTTGACAGAGAGACAACAGCAAGAGGTTGAGTGAAGCTCAAAGGTCAGCGACCTTTGACTCGCCGAAGGCAGCGCGGCAACAAGGACACATAACTGACTCGATATTGAGCAGTTACCCGAGTCGTCGCTGTATCGAACTGCAACAGCAGTTACAGTTAGTTAAACCTTTCATATTCGTTGTAATCATATAAAAGCTTGTATCTCTTTGTTATTATTATCTTATCTTGTTCTCACATACCAGTACAAGGTGGTTCAATCAGCTCACTAATACG